ACTTAGTATTCACCTTCAGTAGTGAAAGATATCGGGGACATCACTTTATGAAAGACCCCTTGGGCCAGTGACCATGTGGTTTTAAGCTTCGAATACACAGTAGAGCTACAAGTGGAGGGAGAAGCAGGAAGGCCAGGACAAATGAAGCCAAACTACAAGAAAGGGGACTACACAGGAATGAGGAACAAACCTGAACGGGGTTCAGTGGGACAGAGAACTGGCAGGGAAGCCAGTTAATGAGATGATGGAATATGTAGCAACAAATGAAAGGAGGCTGAGGAGAGGTTTGTACCCAAGGGTAACAGGATTAATGAAAAAGCCAGGATAAAGCCCATGGTTTACCCAAAGGTGCAGGGAGGCAAAAACCAAGTGTGCTGGGGAATGGAAGAAATATAGAAGGCAAAGGACCCAGGAAATAAGGAGAACAGTCGTAGAGCCAGAAACGAATTTTGCACAGATAAGAAGGGAGGCCCAAAGACAATATGAAATGACATAGCAGCAAAAAGCCAAATCTGACCCGAAACTGTTGTACAGCCACATCAGGAGGAAAACAACAGTCCAAGGGACCAGGTAACAGGCTAAGGAAGGAAGGAGGAAGACAACAAGATATGACCGGGGAAGTATGTGAAAACTCAACAAGAGATTCAAAGAAGTGTTCACAGAGGAGACAGAAGGGACTCCAGAAAGACGGAGAGGGGGGGCACACCACCAAGTGCTGGACACAGTGCACACAACCGAGGAAGAAGTGAAGAGGCTTCTGAGTGAGCAGATACCCCCAAAGGCAATGGGGCCAGATAACATCTCCCCATGGTATTAAAGGAGGGAGCAGAGGCGCTATGTGTACCCCTAACAACAATATTCAATACATCTATCGAAACAGGGAGATTGCCTGAGGATGGAAGACAGCAAATGTAGTCCCAATCTTTAAAAAGGAACAGACATGAAGCTTTAAAAACTACAGACCAGTGTCACTGACATGTATTGTATGCAAAATCATGGAGAAGATTATCAGGAGAAGAGTGGTGGAACACCTAGAAAGGATTGATCTCATCAACAGCAGCCAACATGGTTTCAGGGACGGGAAATCCTGTGTCACAAACCTACTGGAGTTCCATGACATGGTGACAGCAGTAAGACAAGAGAGAGAGGGGTGGGTGGATTGCATTTTCTTGGACTGCAAGAAGGCGTTGACACAGTTCCACACAAGAGATTGGTGCAAAAACTGGAGGACCAAGCAGGGATAACAGGGAAGGCACTACAATGGATCAGGGAATACTTGTCGGGAAGACAGCAGCGAGTCAGGGTACGTGGCGAGGTGTCAGAGTGGGCACCTGTGACCAGCGGGGTCCCGCAGGGGTCAGCCCTAGACCAGTGCTGTTTCTGGTATTTGTGAACGACATGACGGAAGGAATAGACTCTGAGGTGTCCCTGTTTGCAGATGGACGTGAAGTTGATGAAAAAGAATACACTCGATCGAAGACCAGGCAGAACTACAAAGGGATCTGGACAGGCTGCAGACCTGGTCCAGCAATTGGCTCCTGGAGTTCAATCCCACCAAGTGCAAAGTCATAAAGATTGGGGAAGGGCAAAGAAGGCCGCAGACGGAGTACAGTCTAGGGGGTCAGAGACTACAAACCTCACTCAAGGAAAAAGATCTTGGGGTGAGTATAACACCAGGCAAAATCTCCTGAAGCGCACATCAACCAAATAACTGCTGCAGCATGGCGCCTAGCAAACCTCAGAAACAGCATTCCGACATCTTAATAAGGAATCATTCAGGACCCTGTTACACCGTGATGTTAGGCCCATATTGGAGTATGCGGCACCAGTTTGGAACCCACACCTAGCCAAAGCACGTGAAGAAACTAGGAAAGTGCAAAGGTTGCAACAAGACTAGTCCCAGAGCAAGAGGTATGTCCTACGAGGAGAGGTTTAAGGGAAATCAACCTGACGCACTGGAGGACAGGAGAGATAGGGGGGACATGATAACGACCCAAAAAAAATACTGAGAGGAATTGACAAGGTG